AAACGTTAGAGGATATTGTCACGGCATTATTGTCCGGCTAATGAATCGAATGTTTACCTCCATTATTCCGTTTCAGCATCATGCTAATGAGCGCGGTTGAATTTTAATAAAGGGCTGGATATTCCTATTTCTCAAACGGATGAATACAAGCTCGATAGGGGACAGTTCGTCGCGGCGTTCTCTGCATTGTGTAAAATTGTTTTGCAAAGCTGGCTATAAATAAATGCGGCAAGTACACCCTAAAGGACGGCAAGGGCGGTCGGTCTCGCGTAAAAGATGACGCACTGTGACGTACGGGCGTGCGTAAACGGTTCGGGAAAATTATGGAACGTCGTGTAATTTTCTTCGGTCGGACGTAAAGGGCAGATGGAATTGGTGGGATCGATCGAACGAAACTTTCTTAGGGGCATGGACATTGAAACACGTTTGAGCGATTAAAAAAGTAATTATTTCGAAACTGTATCATGTTGAAGAATGAAATTTCGTTATCAGAACGTAAATATTTGATCGAGGACCAACAAGTGAATGATATTGGTTGAACAAGTTTTCAGAAAAATGGAACGATATTTTAATGAAATGATTTTTCATTATTGCAATCCCTGGAACGATAAGGCTGACAATGAGTACATTGGACTCTACGTCAGGACTCGACGTCACATTCCATCGCACGTGGTACGCGTCATCGCTTATTATTCTCACGTAGATCACACGCGTACTGTTGCGCCGAGAACCTCGCGAAAATGGCACCTGTTACGTGCCTGACCATCGATTCTGTGAACACTGAGTCAACGATATAATTCCTGTAATTATGCTCGGTATTGGAGAAACGAAAACTAATAAAATAGTTATAATTACAATATTCAATACACAAACGAATATTGTGTAAATTCCGAACATACCTAAGCTTTCCATAGATTTTTGTTACCAATGTGTGTATGTAGTGAGTAACGAAAGTAATGGACTAACAGTTTTCTGTATACTTTTTTCATAATAAATGCTTTATAATTTGTGAACATGTACCATTTTTCCTCCAATTATCACACCAATGCATTCACGATTTTTGCTTCAAGTGCAGATTGTCCGAATAGTATCAAAATGGACTAACCTAAAGTTATTTTGAATAGATTGCTCCAATATCGGATGAACTTAGTCTACAAGAATTAATTCTCCAATAATCATATGTCAACATCTTTCCGAAGGCAAATAATTCCTATCTTACTTACACCATTTGTTGCTTCTAATTAAATGACTTTTTAGAAGATTGTCTCCCACCATACGAGAGAATTCTACACGTCCATGTACCTCATTTGAAATATTAATCGAAAATGATAAAAAAATATTCCACATAAAATTTTCGTAAAGCTTCTTTAATCTTTACTGTTTTTTCTATTTTTCCTATGTTTATTTCTTACATTCTCATTATATTTCTTTTCGCTACTTCTACCTACTTTTTCCTGCTCTTCCCTACTCCTTCAAACTTTTCTCTACTCTTCCCTACTCCTTCCAACTTTTCTCTACTCTTCCCTACTCCTTCCAACTTTTCCCTACTCTCTCAAATTTTTCCGTACTTTTTCCTACATTTCCTTACTTTTCCCTACTTTTTCAATTTTACCTATTTTATCCATTTTATCAATTTGTCATATTTCACTCATTTTACCAATTTTACCAATTTTACCCATTGTACCCGTTTCCCCTATTTTCCATTATTCCCCATTTCCATTACTTCCTATTTCCCCGTTCGAATAATTCACGGGCCGCGTCTGATTTAATTCGAGCCGCATCGAAATCATTGACAGTCTCATTGACGGTCCTCCCTCTACTCGCAGGCGGTCTCATCGTCTCCGTTCGACGGAACGGGGGAACGGCGTGACGGCGCGCAGCGTCCATCAGCGGGTCGTTCGCACGCAGGATTCGCGAGCATGAACTCCCCGGCAAGCATGGAGCGGCAAGCCGGTTGGCGGGGTCGTCGCGGGCCTGCGCCGGCCCCGCGTCGGCGTTTCACGGTGGCGTTGCCGCGGGGCGGGTAGGTTCGCGTCGCGGCGCCTAGCGCGCGTCAGCGTCGCTGGGACCGTCGACGGGAGGCAACAGTGGTGGCCAACGCATCGCGTGGACCGCGTAATCCGCCATATTGGCCGCGAACACACTTTTTTTTTTTCGAAGTCTCGGTGGCCGGTCGGAACGCACACACACGGCCCTCTGGTGTCCCGAGGCTTCACGCTCCGTGATCCGTGCCGACAACCCGAGGGTTGAGAACGAGGGGCGTATCAGCGGTGTCCGTGTTAACCCCGACGATCGAAGGGCGACAGGGGGGCGGTGGAAGAGGGCAATAACGTCGTAAGACACGCCGAGATACGACTCGAACGTTTTTCACGACAAGTGAAAGGGGGTGAAAGAGAAAGAGAAAGAGAGAGAGGGGGCGGGAGACAGAAAGAGAAAGAGAGAATAGGGGAGAGACAGAGAGACGAACGAGGGTGAAAAGAAGTGTGTCAGTGATCGGTGGTTGAAAGAAGTGTCCAGTGGTTAAAAGGAATCTCGAGGAAGTACTTTGACTTCACCACCCTTGGCCTACACCTTGAAACCACTATAATAATCTCCTAACCTTCTATCCCTTTCTTGATCGAACAAACGATCATCGTTTATCGATTGTTAATTCGGATCCAGTACGTGAACCTGGTTAAAATTATTCGAAATTCAGTTTATTATTCCGACTACACGCGATATCGGTGACCATCGTTCGTTGAAGGACCGCGAGTTCGTGGGACTTACTCCGTTCTCAAGGGTCCCGTCGCCGGGTGATCGTTCCTCGATCATCGGGAAGTGATATATTCACGTAGATCGGTATTTACATCGGTGAACGTGGATCCTCTCGACGTTGGCTCGGTGTCCAACGTGACAGAGTCGCCGGTGGGCTCGTGGTCTCTCCCTCTGGTTCTCGACTTCTGCCAATCAATAACCAGCGCACCGACTCGTTCACGCTCTGCTCTCTGCCTCCCTCTCCCGCCCCCTCTCTCTCATACACGCACATACATATACACTATCTCTTTTTGCCCCGGTTGCCTCTCTCAGTCTCACCCAGTCGAACGGATCGTCGTCGAAAGCACAGTCTCCCCGGCCGGGTTGGAAACGCGACGGGCCTGAAAAAAAATTGTCGGCCGAGATGCATTGAGAGGCACTCCGCCGCGATGTTTTCCTGTTTCCCTCTTCCGTCCGTTTCGCGCCGTTCCCTCCCGCCGTCACGATCATCCTCCTCCCATCCCTCTTCTGTTATCTCTTCTCCCCTCGTTTCCGTTGCTCCTAGTTGCCCGCCGCCCTTTTAAAACCGCGTGTGTCGTACCCGTGTCCCTCTCTCGGAATTTTCGACGAGTCGGGGGCAAGTCATCGCGCAACAGAGAGGAACCACGAGGACAACGACGACGGTAGTCGTCGACGGGAGTAGAGTAGGCGCAACAACAAGAACCGTGGACGGCATAGACAGCAGCCCAGAGGCGGCGGTAGCGGCGCGCTCTCTAGCCAGATCGCCGCGCCAGCGCCCTGCGTGTGGCTTGTCAAACAGCCACTGGAAACCTATTTATACACCGTCAACGTAGCGACGCGGACGACCGACGTGTATAGCCAGAAAGAGAGAGAGAGAAAGAGAGAGAACGCCAGCGCTGTGTTCGGCTACCCACGCGAGCAACAAGCCTGAAAGAACAGAGAAAGAGAGAGAGAGAGGAAAAGCGTGGCGACGAAGAGCTTGACCGAATCGACGACGGTGTCATCAAGAGGTGAAGAAAAAGAAGAAGAAGAAAAATAGAGGATCCACTTTCCTGGTAGCTGGGCCTAGAATCTATCGGTTAGCGAAGAGTCATCATCCAAGATACAGTGTGAACACCACGTCGTTGCCGATCGCAGAACGATCAATCCTCTCCTCTCCCGTCCGGTACGGTTCGTTGATCGTCCTTCGGAAGCCCCCCGGAAGTTCGGTGGCCCGGTCGATGGACGCCGACGGGCAGGAACAAACCGAGATCCCGATGGGGCAGGATCGTGACACGGATGTCGGGAGTGCGGCGCGCACCGCGGTGCCCACCCATAGGGGACGTCATTGAGAGAGACAGAGAGAACGTGAGGGAGGGGAAGTGAGAGAGAAAGAGAGATAGAGAGAGAGAGAGAGAGAGTCTATATCTTTTCCCTTGGCCCGTGGTGATCGACCGTCGCGCATCCGCCGCCTTCCCTTCTCGCCATCGTGTGGCGGATCTGCGCGCGGCTAGGACCCGCGGCGCGCGTAAGCCTCTATAGGCGGATGGGGTTGGGTCACGTCGCCGTCGCGTCGTCGTCGTCGTGCACGGTCTCGCCGATGATGGTGGTGGTGTTGTTGTACGTGGCCCGGTGGTGAGAATATCGTGCCCAGAGAAAGATAGGTGTTCGGAGAACGAGGTGGCGAACGGTTATTCGAACACACACACACACATATATATATATATATATATATACACGCACACATTTGGGTGGATCCTGGCCCCACCGTTGTTTCCTACCCTGGCCGTGTACGTACCGTGAACGGAGGCGGGAAATAATGGCCGTTGGTGGTGTATAATGCGAGTGGAGGAGGATCGTGTGGTTGTTGGAACCAGCCAACAAGAGGATTTCGGAACGGACAACATCGTGTCAACGTAGTGGGAATCTCTCGCGTGTGGTGCGCGTCTCGGGGGTGGTTACTCTGGGCTCCGTATGTGTCCGCCCGTGTACACGTGAAAAAAAGTCACCAGAGTTCCCCTTCCCCAGGGGTGGGAAGGAAGGAAGCTTTTGATCAGACGCGAGGAACGGCCCAGTCCGAGTTGGGAGCATGCAGGGTTCGGGCGAGGCCCGTAGAGGCCTTAGTCCCGCGGCTGGACCGGGATAAGCTGCCGCGGATCCTGGAAGGTGGATTGTGTATCGAGGGCTGCAGACGGAATCGGTGGCGACACACATATACACAGACACACGCACACGTCGTCGTTGGTTTAACTGGAGAGTTCGTGAACGCGGGAAGCGAGCTGGACTCGCTTTCGGGCGCATGGAACATGATAGAGGTGAGGCGATGCGATATCGATTGACAGAGAAACACGTACACGTACACACACTCCGCGGAGAGCCTGTCGATGGCCTGGCGGAGATATGTCAGACAGAGAGAGAGAGAGAGAGAGAGAGAGAGAGAGAGAGAGAGAGAGAGAGAAGAGAGAGAGTGAGAGAGAATGGCCCCCGGCCGAACACGGCCACCGCCGACGACGTTGCTCCGATTTAGCTTCTCTCGTTTTGCAAGACGCGAAAGCGACGCTTTTAGACGCGATTCGGGCATAGGTACACCAGCTAGTATCTCGGCTTCCAAGACACACGCCGTTCGTCCCAACGATGGGAACAGCTGGAACGCCTCGGTAAACCGTGGATTTGGGTTAGGCGGTAACTGGCCGGAGAGGCCGGAGCCTGTTGATCCAACCGAGGATTTATATTCGGCACGGACGAATCGCGACTGACACGCGCGCCCGAGAGACTAGGCTAGCCTTCCGCGATTCTGGATAACGTGATCGTGGACCAGAGGGGTGGGGGCAGAAACGGTTCTTCGTGGATCTGTGTTTGAAAATTTCAGCGTGGATTTTTTCCGACTGGTTTTTAGATTCTTTCGATGATTATTTTATTTCTTTGGAGGTTCGACTGCTTTTTAGATTTCTTCGGTGGTTCTCTGGTGTTTTGGATTCTTTATTCTTGCATCGATGAACTAGGACGGATGCACCAATAAATGAACGCGTACCAGTGAATGAACGTTATGTATAAAAATGAATAAATTAAATCGTTAAAATGAAGCAATAATTGGATATTGCTTTTTGTTCATATTATACTTTGTTTCGTACTCGAACAATTTTCACTGTATTTTTCTTTTTATTTTCATTAATTTCATCTTTCCGATTTTTCAAATTCTAATCTCTACATTATAAAAGGGTTTAGATATTATTATCGTTTAAAATTCGACTTTAATGGTTGCAAAATCTTTTAAGTGTTCATTTATTGGCGCATTAATTCTCTAAATTCAATTATACATATAGCCCCAGTTGAAATTTATTTACCATACTTCATTTTGGGGACTCAAAGTTTATAGGTCCATTTCTGTGTCTTCTGATAGTATTTAATGAATAAAATCCAGAAAGTTATGCGTCTGTAAAAGTGTGTATTGTACGGCTTTTTCAACGCCCTACTGACTTCGTTCACAATTCGCCTGTCCAACGAGTCGAGTTTGATGGCTATAAACAAATCAACGTAATGAAAACTTAAGAAACAGATGCGCAGCCCTGACTCGACTCTTTGGTAGGTCTTTTGGTACAGTGATTCTTCGATGAATGCGACACGAACAACGGCGTTATTCCCACCACTGTTTTATTACTCTGTTACTTAAAACTTTCCTCTTATATTGAATCGTTATTTTAACGCACTTCTACAGACTTGTAACATTCGTTACAATGATATTTCCTAAATATAAAACTCGTAATTTATGGATTCCACTCTTCAAATACTATCCAGAGACACAAAAATGCATCACAAATTTTAGGTTCTCCAAAACGAAGTTTAACCCCGTTCCTTCACTTTCATAAAAGAACGAACTTGAACTCAGATCTTCCCAAAGACTAATAGTATTTGCATCCCGATTATTTAACAAGGGAATTATTAAATTATTATTTCATTTTCAAACTAACGAAAAATAAATAAACTAACGATAGACAGCAGCGCAAAGTGCTAGTCGAACGAATTTCGGAAGCCGCATATTATTCCTGACGCGGCACACGTGCTTCGTTAATTGAGCAACGCCGTCGATGGGGTCGATCCACTGACGTATCGACGTCGATAACGGGCTGACCTCCGGATTTTCAAGGAAATATTCGAACGGCTCGAGCTTACAAACCGACGTAGCTCATCAACAAGTGTCCGAAAGGGAACGTGTTGCATAATTAGAACGAGTCGTTCGCGCACTCAGAAACCGCGCGTCGTCACAACGAGAGTTCAGATCGTTCGACGAATAAAAATAGCGAACGACGTAACTTTTGATACGGGTATTTCACGGTGGAAAAAATATCTTTATATTCTTTTGGGAAGGGGGAGGAATGTAAACACTGTGCGAATGCACTTTTTGGCAGGTCGCCAACGGTTCCGAGGTGATTCACTAGCCGAGAGAGATCCCTCTTCTATTTGTTACGCTTCCCCCTATCGTTCGAACGTAAATATTATTTTGTTAAATGCTGTTCCGCGGTGGACGCTTCGGAGACACGTTTTTCACGAGTACATTTCCTTTTAGGTCTTTCAGGATATTTGATATTTTGATTTTCGTCGGATGCGGTCTCACGGTGGATATCTTGTACGACGTACACGCATTTTCTTTCGTCACCTCGGCGATGATATTTCCTTGGGTTTTCGCGTTCGAGATACTCTTGTATTTTTGAATGGCACCGAGGTAGATTCTCGAAAATACAAGCACTCGAGGTGAATTCAAACAGCAACGCCAACGGGGTTCGCTTGTGTAAACATCCAATTTCAAATAATATTTCCTTTAATATCCTTCGCGTTTTCTTGCCTGTTAAAACGTTTCCGTTCGAGCACGTGCCGTTCAGTTTTGAAATTCGGAGCTTCTTTTCATAATGTAGGTAATTCTTTGAGTTTCGAAATTCCATTAGCATCTATTAAAAAAATAGCGTGACAAGTCGAGGATGGTTGAGATTTTCGAGTAACAATTTTTCAAAAACCACCTTCGAATAACTTCACTTAAACAGTTACAACGAAAATTTACATGGAACTTGAATCTGAGAAACATAAGCTTTCCTTTTTCGTTTGACGCATAATCGATTCATAATTAGGTTTCTCGCGCTCCAAAACACTTTTGGGTCATCATGTCCAGTATACTTTTGGAGTTTGTTTAAACTTGGATATATTATAGTCTTTAGTCATATATAAACGTATCTGGAAGGATTTTTCAAAATTTCAAAAATTGTTGATTTTGCAGGTGTTTGAAATATAGTGTCACCCTATTTTTCAATAAATCATATCTGTTGAACTAACAAACTGAAAGAAATGAGCTTTGTGGGTGCTTACAGTGGATACACAACAGTACTTAATCAAAATTATTTCAGTCAGAAGAAAACATTTTGTAACCATTTATTTTGCAATTGTTTTAAAGAAATGCAATGTTACAATAGCGGGGCAATATTTGAAAACTTGAAAAAACTTAGGTTACACTAAAGACATAAGAGTAGATACTTAATTAAAAATATTTCAATTAAAAACAAATATTTCTTAACCATCTATTCTGCAACTATTATTTATTTTCTCTTTCCTAAAGGTGTGCTTCCACGAATTCTTGCACAGGAATTTCGTAACGTCTTTTGATTTTTTCACAAATTTCCTTTCTTTATAAAACTTGTAACAGTGGATCGTGATGCTATGACAAACGAATGCTCTACCAAATATCCTCGATCCTTCGTTTTGGGTCGCGCACGTGGGCCGTGGATCACCGTGGAAAGTCTGTTGTTTATCAATCGCTGCCCGCAGCCCGTATTAGCGACTCTCGAGTGTGGTCGTTATCGTGCGAGGCCTGAGCAGATCATCGATATACACCGTGGCGTAAAAATAAAGCTGCCCCCAAGAGAGACAGAGAGAGAGAGAAAAAAGAGAGAAAGATAGAGATAGAGGTTGTGCATGCGCGGAACTTTGCTTACTGGAGCCTCGATCCACGAGGCTCCTTTGCTGGGCACTTGCTGGATCGCAATCATCTGGCAATTACACAATACACACAGGTGTACCTTGATGTTGATTATTCTTGTTGAAGAAATTTTCGTCAATAATTGAGAACCTTGAATGTACATTAAAATGTTTGTGGTTCCATAGCAATTGACGATTATTTTACAGATTTTTCTGTAGAGCAGACATGGGCAAATTTATTATTTACAGAGTTTCGAATAATGAATAAAAGATAGAAAAATTAGTTCGTCATTTTGAATCGTTTAAACGTGGAAATTGCAATTTTTATAATAAAATAATACTTCTTCTTAAATGAATCGACGTTTGGCAAATTATTTAATTCTTTAGGTACAGATTTATTTGAAAAAAATTTTGCATATGGAACAGATTTAATTTCTTTTTTTTTACAATTGGTACAGACTACTCTGAAATGAACAAGAATTAAGTATTGTCTCAATTTGAATGACGAGTTACACTTGTCATCTTGCACTTAGGTAAAACAAATGCACGTCGAGTCTCAGTCGTCAAATGTATATTGCTACAGCGTAACAGTTCTAGAAACTATAGTCTAAGTGTTCTTGAAAACTTGTAAGATTTCATGTACAAAAATTTAGTAGAATAAAATTATTATTTTTAAAATACTAAACATCGGAATCTAATAGTACCCAAGTCGTTATTATTCGAATAAAATTGTGCTTTTGCAATTTGAAATTTTGAATAATTTTCCTGAAATCTGTTAATAATGTTCGAAACAGAATGTTAATACGTAAAAGTTTTGGTTATAACAAAGAACATCGAGATGGTAGTAGAATCTCAATAATCAGAATATTTTTACCTATTTATGTAGGTACACTTACGAGCAAACTCGGCTTCCACTAGGAGAAAAAGTGACGTAGGAGAAGGACCTCCTGCCATTTATTTTATTATTGAAATGTATGTCAACTTAACATTCGATTTAACATTTATTTCAGTACATGAAATAAATTTATCAAGTTGTAGGAGGCCTCTTCCCTACGTCACTTTTTCCCCTAGTGGAAGCGGAGTTTGTTTCTGAAGGTACGAACCTTTGATTAGACATCATCAGGAATTCCTCATCTAGTCAATCGCTTTTAAATTTTCTAAAGTTGTTATAAATGTACCATATAAAACGTACAGAGTTAAAATAACGTAGTATAAAGAGAACAGAAACGGACCGCCATTTTGTCTTCCGCCCTTTGAGCGTTCGCTCGAACAGTAAATTTCTTTGGCGGGTGTTTTGCATTCAGGTATCCGTTGTTTCCGCGTTAACACCGAACACACACACACGATAGGGGGAGGGGATCGATAGATGCAGCTGAGCGTGCGGCAATGGTATCCAAACTACAATAATTGGCTGCCTTTTGAAAGCTTATGTGTCAATTACCGTACGGTTAGCTTGTTTCAATTAAAGCCTTAACGACTTCACCGTGCTTCCGCGTGCGAATCGGCTGTGATGTTTTTCGATTGATCAAATAAGCCGCGACCCGATCCAGTTTCGATTCACGGTAGACTGGATCGCGTCCCAATTTTTCTTCATTTTTTTTTTTTATTCATCGTTCGCTGCTAGGAAGCTCTGTATGGCTTTGATTTTTATTTACAGCGAGGATCGAAGCGTGAAATTGAACGATGCAGGTTGAAATATTAGAAAAATTATACGGATCGAGGAACGTTATTCGAGTATCTAGATCGGTTAGACATTAATCGAGTTATTCGACAATTTTCAAAGTTCACATAACCTAATTTCAAATGCTTGTTTAATATTTATGAAAAGTTTCATGAGCAATTTTATGTTGGTAATACTCCTCGGTTCGTTAATTTCATGTGTATTCTGGTAGCTGGAATCCTCCGGAGGGGGAAAGTTCCGTACTGATAATGAGAACTGATAAGACATAAGAACTGGTTTCCACCCCTGTGTGCAGGTGATATCACGGAGTATCAAGCTTTAGGTACCTAGTTTTTATTTTTAATGCAGCTCTGTTCGTTCGTGTCGGAAACTTTCTGCGCTCTGTTCGAAACCGTTGCAATTTTCTCTCGTATTTTAAACTTTATTACCTTGGGGGGATATTAGATAACGTTCACTACAATTAAAAAGTAGATTTTTATCGTTTCACCTACTTCTTCTTCGTGATCAAGTTTTTCCCACTCTATTTCATTTAGTGAGATATTCTTCCGGAATGAACAAATTTATTAAAAATTAATAATATACTTTTACAGTCAGTCACTTCGACACACTTCACGAAATTACATATACTAAAAATACATAGGTAAACCCTGCTTTGTTTATTACAGTCTTGACTACTTTAAACACATTATTGTAATCTGCAATTTTCATTTTTATATACCAATGGTGGGCAAACTGCGGGTCCCTAGACAGCATGGGGTTTCATTTTCATTTTTCTTAAAGTTTCATATTAATAATCTATAGTAGTATAGTATGTAAGCAATATTAGAATTTTTTTGTGGCTCTTGAACATTCAAAAATGTATGAAAAGTATTATATGTGGTTCTTATTATCAAAGAACTTACCCCCACCCCTCGTATATACTATAAAACACTTCTGGAGGGCAACTCCTACCTACACTATCAATTTCTCACCTTTAGCGATTAACACGTCAGAAGGCCCACAGGTGTCACCATTTATCGTACTACAAGTCACTCGAAACAGTTGGTCGTAGCGACCTGTGGTACACCACTTTGCCGACGAACATAGTAATCAGTCGTACAACGAATCTCATAGACATATAGTAAATTTAGTAAAGAGTAAAATCTTCTATGCACCGCTCAAAAATCTATTTCCTCGTCATTCCTTAATCTCTCGACAGATATTGTCACGTATGTGTACGCCCAATTTTTCTTTCATTCAACCACAATTCCGAAATTATAATTAAATATTCACTAGGAAATTCCCCAACAAAAAAGGACCTTCAACTATCTGACTGTCGTTAATATTTGTAAATATATTTTAATTAAATACAACTGAAGAATAAAAAAGATATTCTCGTTGATCTTAATAAATCCGTCCCTGAACAGGTTAAACTAAACCCTAAAAGTTAGACACAAACCAGAGACCACTAATTAAAAATCGAACATCGATTCTGTGTTCAACGACCCAAAACAGTGCACAAGGAAGTTACCCGATCAATCCAACGACCACATACGTTTCAACTTCAAAATTCCAAACCGATCACGATCACCATTCACACGCCCTCAGACTCCCATCAAAATTACACTCACGATACCACAATAAATCCTAATTCCTCATCAGAACCAATCCATCCTGAGTCATACAATTCTTCTATCAAATCACACTAACAATTAACTCACAACTCCGACGATCCACCGTCGATCATAGTCCTCCGGAGGGCCAAGACCTCCCCGCGACAATCCACGAAGGTTAAGGTCGGATTGCTGGATAACGTCGTCCGTCCCGGTGCATCGTGGTGCGCGCCGTTGTGTATTTTTAGAGTGCCAGAGGGGTAGGGACCGTAGGCTGACCAGACGCGTGGTATCGTTTCCAGATGTCGAGCGGAATCGGTGCAACTGCAATGGGGATCGGCGTTAGTCACGGGACAGGGGGTGGCGAGGGTGTCGCCGGTGGTTGCCGGTTACGCGCCCAGAGCCAAAGCCAGGCATCCGGCTCCACGACCCAGCACAACAATCCGCAACAGTCGTCGCAGCAGCAGCAGCAACAGCAGCAACAACAGCCTCCGTCGTCTCAGCAGCAGCAGCAGCAGCAGCCACAGCAACGCTCGGGGATCATGGGACGATCGAAGAAGGACAACTGTTGCCTGTGCTGGTGTTGCAGTTGCTTGTGGTATTACCGTTCCTGTCTATTTCTATAACCTTGCCTCGTGAACGACGCAGCGTGGTCGTAATTTAGATGACACCTTGAAAATGACTTTCTGTTGATACCTCAAAGAACCCTGCTTTGTACGCGGTGTAATCCGTTTTATTGCCTCCAGATACCTGTACTTACCTGTCTACAGTTCTTTCGAGCTCTTTTATTAGGTGGAGAAAGTAACAATTTTTTAAGAGCTGCGTGAAATATCGTTGAATACCTGTTAATTTTGAACTAACAAGGGAAGGGACGGAAGTGTCACCCTCCGATTTGGATGAAAATTCGTATGTCTGTTAAACAGTCCAAAATAGGGGATACGTATTTTTCTTTATCGGCTGAGACGCGACTTTAAGGGATGAAACCATCCCTCGATGTTAAATTACAGAATCCATAGGATCGTTTTGGTTTTCCTCAATCGATTCTTCATTTGTCACAACATTTCCAAAGAATTCTTTACGAACGACACCTTAAGAGAATTTCGTCTAGGTACAACATCCCGCAGAATATTCCAACCCCTTTTAAACAGTTAATTCCTTTACTGCTAATACAGTAATTTCTCGATGAATGCGACTAGGGGGATTCCTCTATTTTCCCTCTGGAACAAATTTATGAGGGGCTGAAAACTTTTCCGCTTTCCCACGAATGCTCCGAAACAGACAAAGTCTGTCACACTCATCGAGTCATTACTGTACTTCTTTCATTATACGCGTCAGCAAAATACGTTCTCTATAGCGCAAGCTGTTCGAAGGCAACGGACGATGGCCAAGAGGCGAATAAAAAACAGAATCGTTGCGTTTCCTAGCTCTTGAAAAAAAAAAAAATGGGAACATCCGACGATCGATCCTCGAAACCGTCGTCCGTCCGACGATAACTCCTCTGTATATCCTGCCCGCGTGACAAGCCATTATCGCCGCGGTTTCGTAATATAATCGTCGACGGAACGATGCCAGTCCATTGTCTTTAAACGGAGCTACGACCTATTTACCGTCGAGCATACGATACTCTACGTGCACTCTTTCTCTGTTTCATGCCGCGCGTGTGTAGGAATAAATGGTAAGCAGGCCACGGGGGCTGGACTATACGTCGATGCTCGCCGGCACGTAATCACTGCACCCCCTCGATAGGGGGGGAGTTCGAATCTGAGGGGGATTGCAACGTGAATGTTGCAACGTGAAACAACAGAAACGTTATCAACCCTGGAGCGAATTCAAAATATTTTCGAGCTTTATCTACCGCCAACCTGCGCTTCCATTCGTCCCATGTTGCGATAATAGGATGAAAAGAAGCTTTTAATCGTTTGCATAAAGGAGGCTTGTTCGCGACGGTTGAATATACTTCGTGGGTTATTTATGTTTTGAACCATAGATTCTGAAGCTGGAGTTGCGTAAGGATAAGAATTGCTTTGCAAATGATGGGACAAAGAAATTACGTATTTCATTCATTGTTGTTCATGAGGAAGTGACATTAATACGTGTCACTACGAGCTTGATGCATTCAATTGAACTGGGGAGTAAACTTAGATTTTAGCATTGTGTGTTAGAGGTTCGGGTAAGCTATCGAATTGTAGTATAATAAATGGAAAAATACAGGCATAGGCCAGAAAAATTAAGGTACAAATGTCACATTTCTACAATATGGAAGAATGATCAATGTACAACTCGATAGATCAAAATCTGAACTATATCAGGGTTACAGAGGAAATTATTACGTTATTCTACTTGCTATTTTTCATAACTGTGATTGAACCGTTTAATAATTATTCCTTACCCGTTGATCGTTAGATTTACTAATCATCCCAGATAGCACATGACGTCTTAAAGACGGCTGAAAGGCGCCTCGGACCTAATATAACCTAAAAATTGGCGTCTTGAAGGCATCGTATACTATCTGGGATATTAAACAGCAACCGATAGATAATGCGATAACTCTACGAAATTTACAAAAAAGAAAAGGGAAATCAATTCGACCAAGCAATTCACGGAGTAAAAAGAAGAAAGTTCGTTCCAGGAGGGGGTGAATTCCGCCGCGATTCCGCGATCAAAACGACCCCTGCCGGCCGAGAGGACATTTATACGGACGTAATTTCACATCCAAGAAGCCCAATCTTTCCGCCCGACGGAAGATCTCCCCGGGACGATAACCGGGTCGCCGGGGATCGTTTCGTGACCGTTTCGCGGACGGAAAAACCGTCCGGATGCGTAACACGTGTCCCAACCACGGCGGAAATCTGGCCGACGAAGGGAGGAACGAAGAAGGTTTTTTCCGGTCGTGGTCCCCGCTATCTGCTTATTTATCCGTGCGCGCGCGCGCGCGCGCCTCTTGTCCTCCTCGCCACCCGTCCCGAGCGTTATCGTCCCCTTGGACTGTTTGCAGAAACGAAACTGGGGAAAGTTTCCGGTATAATGGAGCCGTCACGACGGGGAAACGGGACGTGGACGCAAAGAAACCTTGTACTGTTCGGATCCGTTACATTTCATTCGCTACGCGAGCCTGTTTTTTTCCTGATTCCATCGGTGCGTCGTGGCGTATTCAGTGATGGGACTGATACCATATGGATACTCTCGATACCATTTTACAAATTTGGAGATAGTACTAAGAATAATAATATATATTTATTTGTAAAAAAATAAAAGCCCTTTGGTACAATATACTAGTATATGAAAGTGTAGAGGATATACGGAAAGTTTAGGTATACAATAATGTTATGAAAGACTGTATAAAGAAGTACAAAAATATACACGAAAATTTACAAAAATTTTTAGAAGAGTATACCGAAAGTTTTATTGAAAGAAATGCGGAATTAATGGTAGAATAACATAGAACGGATTTGGAAACAGAAAAAGAGTCAGGACTATCTAAGAATACAGAAAATTAACAATAAATGATAACTATACACAGAAATGAATGTTGCGTATTGTATTGGATTTTGTGAATGCAGGAACAGAGTTGTAGAAGGAGACATATCGAAGACGTAGGAATCAAAGGAATTAATACTTCTTCGATGCTGACATATACGAAGGTATCGATACTTGTTTGATACCTTCTGATACCTACACGAAAACATCGACACTTTTCAGCATCGTATTTATTCGAATCGTCGAACATACATCCTTGTTGACCTCAAGTCTTTCGACGCTCGACGACTCGAATATACATGCTGGTATCGATACTTTTCTGTAGGTATCAATAGGTATCGATACTTTCTTGAAGTATCAAACGGGTTTTGATTAAGTTCCGTGTAAGTTTGGTATCGATTCAAGAGAAAATGGTATCGATAAGTGATACCAAGTACTCAATGTTTCGAATACTTTCCATTGAGTACTTTGGTATCGAATCGATTGAATAACATCAATAGTATCGGTATCGACCCCATCACTAGGCGTATTGCGGCTTAAATTCACCCCTCTAATCGTGTTGCGTAAAAGCAGGGTCATTTCTTTTTTTGTTCTCTCGCATGGTTTTCCACCCTCTCGGTCACGATAACACGGACAGTTGCCCGACCGACTTTTCCGGTACGAAACGATACCAGGGGGAGGGTGGCTCGATACAATTGCGTCGTAGAAAGCAAATCCTCGTGACCGGTTGTATGTTCAGGGATGTTGAATTCCAAATTTGGATCGATAGCAATAAGAACTCCTTAAATGGAACATTAGTTTCCTGTGGAAGACGGAGCTTTGGATAGTTTTCGAATCCCTGAAAATAAAGGGTGATACGGAAATCCTCAACTATAAACCTCATCCACCCCTCTGAGACTTTATTTCGGTGAACATCCCATTTATTGGAACCAAAGAATAGCAGACACATCTCTTCGATAGTTCACTAAGCTACTCCCCGGTGGGTTTACTCTGGACTAGTTCACTAAGAGAAAAGGATGAGCGAATCAACATAAACTTTTTGTATGTTCACGGAAGCTACGTAGACAACCACCCTTCGATCTTCCGTTCGAGCACTTCAGGGTTAACGATGACTTAGACTGGGGATGTTTATTCGAATTCGCAATTTTAAGATACTAATTTCGTAAAAATTTAAATGTGATAGAATTTTGAATTCTGTAATCAGAAGTTTGAATTGTACGAAATTCTATTCGAATCTTTATTTGTAGTGTTATCTTTAGGTGTAATCAGAAGCATCTTGTTAGCATTTATTGAACTATTTATAAATTATTTTAAAAAATTGCAAAAATAATTTTATTATGGTTTGTTCTAAATTTCTTCTTAGCATGAAAGTAATAACTCAGTTGATTTGGTGATTTCTCAGCTTAGACTCGTCTAAACCAAAAAATTCAAGAATATTCTTAATTAGTATGAGGATCGTTATCGCAAGAACCACAATAAATAATTTATCTTACAAAATTAACAAAAAGTACTTTTTTCGGTGATTTTATTACGTAAGAAGTATGATAAATTACAAATATAACCATGACTGTTCCTGTGATAGCGACACTCATACTAATTAATAATCTCCTGGAATTTTTTCTTTCAGATGAGTCAGAGCTTCCTACCTCGTAATTAGGAATCCTAGATTTCCTACTCACCTGTGCGAACAAGGACACCTTTTTTTAAGGTGTCACTTTCGTGCCAAGAAAAAACGTAAAACAAACCTATAATAAAATTCTTATGCAATTTTTTTGTATTATTCATAAGTAGTTCAACAAATACCAACAAGATACATCTAATTACATATTGCATTTACCGAGAATGTAAAATTCTTTAACTTTTTCCGCCGTCAAGGCAGAATTACTGCTTAAGGGATGCTATAAATATATAAGAAACAAAAAAAATAAATACATAATTGCTTTCGAATGTGATACAAGTGCGTGGAAATGAGAATGAAAAATGTGAATTTCTCGACAGTTTGGCGGCGATCGGGGGCAACTCGGCTGGCGCAGATGGCGCGGGCGACCAGGGGAAGAAGAAAGGGAACGCGAGCGTCGGCGTCGGCGGCGGCGGTGGCGTCGGTGAGCACAGGAGCAGCGTCGCCGAGCACGCAGGTGCGGGGAACGGTCTGGACGGTCTGGACGGGATCGACGGGAGCATGGAGTGCAGCGTGGACGAGGTCAGGACATGGGGCTCATCGTTCGAGAAGATGATGAGGCACACAGCGGGCCGCGAGCTGTTCAGAGAGTTCCTCAGGAGCGAGTTCAGCGAGGAGAACATCGCGTTCTGGATGGCGTGCGAGCAGCTCAAGCGCGAGAACGACGCCGAGATGGTCGAGAAGAAGGCGCAATTCATCTACAAGGAGTACATATCCACAGACTCGTCGAAGGAAGTGAGTGACGCACTCTGTTTCACTCTACGTTCCTTTTAACTTTTCTCATTAATCTTTATATTCCTTTGAGACATTTCTTTTAATTCTTAAATCTTCTTTGAATATTTTTCTTAAGGTCTTGTATTCTTTTTCATGATTCTCCAGTTTCTTTGAGTCTCTTCCATGGCCCTTGTGCTTCTTTACTCGTGTTCCTTCGAAATTGAATTTGGGGAATTTTTCTTGCTCCTGATGAAATGGTTCTTTGAATCTTCATTTTGGTACCAGGGAGCTGATCTCTTTTCTATAAGCGTTCGTAATTTTAGCGGATAACTTTTCTTTAGAATTTCGACACTATTTCGATTCCTTGCTCTGAATCGATTCTGTTCCTTTATTCTTCAGGGACCTTGTAAGTAGACTGTGGTTATTCATATTGATCTACTTTCTTAAATATCAATTTAAAATGTTAGTATTGAACAGAAATTTGTCCCGTTTGTCGAATAATGTTAACATGCAACTATTAACATGCAAAGTACAGCGAAATAAAAGCTTTGGTAGGACATAATAATATTTATTATCGCCGTAGTAAGGGATCGCATACGGGAAACAAATTTCTATTTCATTTTCATGTTCATAAATTAATTCTTAAAATTGTGAATTTGCACAAACATCCACAACCTAGTTATTAGATTCAAAAATAAAAAATACAACTTTATTAGCTACTCTGAACTGAATTATTTTTGTGTCAGTCAGTAATCTATCACATTTTCAAGAACTTAACATAATTTAACTTCAGCATATACATATCTTCCCGGTCTTATGTTCAATACAAAATCCTCAGAACATCTTAAATCAAATAAACACTTAGTTCGATCAAAACTACCAAAACACTTTGGTACCGTTAATAGTTAACCCTCGTTCTTCCAATTCAATTTCTCCCTCGGTGTCAAATCGATACAGTAGTATAAAATTAATCGAATGAAAACATAAATAGTTAGATTACAATTCCAACAGAGCCGCAGGTAAATTCACCTACACACACCAGAGTAACATCATTACACATGCGAACAATGTGTCAAATTAACACACAAGGGACGAATAAAGATTAATACTTAACAATCCACGGCCTAGTTGCGAACACTGTACCAAAACCGATCGTCCCTCCAGTCCCCAATCTTCCCATTCCACCTAACAAACCATTCTCTCCAAAAAAAACCCAATAAAATCGATCAACAAACCTGACTATTCCCTCTCTCTTCAGGTGAGCCTGGACTCGCGGGTCCGCGAGATAGTGAACCACAACATGACGCAACCGACGCCGCACACCTTCGACGAGGCCCAGCAACAAATCTACACTCTGATGCAGCGTGACTCGTACCCCCGTTTCGTGAACAGCGACATCTATCGACGGATGGCCAGACTGGACAACGGGCCACCGAGCGCGACCAACGACGAACAACAACAACAGCAACAACAACAACAACAAAACATTACAGGGAAATCGAAGGGGAAGAAAGGAGCGACGTAATCGCTCGTCGACGCGACCAGGGTGGAAGCGGACCAACACACACACCCACCGTCTACAGAGCCGGTGGTCCTCCGTCGATCGCGATCGAAGAACTGACCCCTCGCGGAAACGTCACTGGAGAACCCCTGGGTGGGACGATCTTAACGATCCAGGACCATGATCGAGGAGGAACACCGTGTCGACTACCAATCCCCCCTAAACCATCGACGTCGGATCATCCCTATCCGACGTGGGTAGATCCCATCGGCGGCCAATGATCTCGGAAGAACCAACTCGAAGCGACTCGCTCTTCCATTGGCGACCGCCACATCGGGGCCACCGTGACCACGCTCGCCGTGACTGCGAACGTGCGCACGAAACTTGACGATGGACTGAATTATTTAAAAGATAAACGAAGAAAGAAGATACGTAAGCAAAAAAAAAAGAGGAATGAAACGCGCACACGACCACGCACACGTCTAGCGTAGATCGTTAAACTGGACGCTTCCAAAGGGACACTTTGGTATTCACGCTTGTATTCACCGTTGACGCGGTTAGATTCGAAGAATCGGGACGGAAACATATACACATACACACACGGGGCCGGTCGGGGATGACGTTCATCGGTCAAAGGAAGTTCCTAAGTTCATCGTCCGAGTGTCTAGGCGACTCTGATCACGTCGTCGATGATCTCTCTCTTTCTTTCTCGTTGCTCTTGATAATGCTGCGTGTCTACTCTCTCTGTCTCTCTCTACTGCTCGAGACTGTCTTTCTATCTATGTTTCTCTCTCCGTTCCCGTCGGGCATTCTACCCTTGCCGTTTCTCTCCTGTCTTTCTCGCTCTCTTTAACTGTACCCCTTTCATCGTCGGAGATAATGGTCTTGGTAGAGGAGGATTATAATCGAGGATATTTTGTGATCGTGCTACGAGATGATCGGGACTGCGATGAGAATTAAATGAAACGGATACTCGCGAGTTGACATTGTTGAATTAATTCATTATTTTTGTTTTCGTGAAGTCGAATAATGAAGGAATGATACGCTGGTTCCGAGTTTCTCGTAGCATCACGAGGCGTTTCCAAAAGTGACGACGCGGTGGATGCTCTCCAGTGATGGGCGGTACAGTATCGACATTTAAAACATCGATACTTTTCAATTGAAATATGGATATTTTGTATCGATATTTAATGTGACGATATATTCCTGGATCGATACTTTTCAATTGAAATATCGATATTTTGTATCGATGTTTAATGTGACGATATATTCCAGTATCGATACTTGACCCGTAAATATCGAAATTTCGATACAATCGCTGCATTTGCCATAACGCAACAGGTCTTAAGGAAAATTGACCAATCGCGAACATCCCACAAAGTTTGCGATTGGTCGATTTATTTTCCACACTGTTACCTGGGAATCTGCCTTAGTAAATATCTGTTTAAATAAACGATTTATTGTTATTTCTGGATTTTATTACTTCCAACTTTAATTGCAAGTATCGATACCGATAATACCGATATTTTATTCCAGATATACATTTGTATCGATACTATGGGTATCAATACGTATCGATACCAGATATCGATACAATTCGAATATATCGCCATCACTAAATGCCCTCTCGATCGTGACACGTTTAGCGCAGCAAACCGACGCGACAGAAGCAATATTCTCGTCATATGGAAACGAATCTCACCGATCGAATCGATCGATTAATGTATACGGAGATCGATGAAGTAGCGTCGAAGAAATCACGACGTGGTAGGCGACGAATCCAACCTCGTAAACGAGACTCCCTGCAAAACGAAGAAACTCTTTTACCGATTTTTTCGCCCTTTCGGAGGGTATCGAACCTCTCAGACAGGATCCACGTATTTCCGCGGGGAAAGGAGTTTCGTTTTCGCCTGGTCTTATTTGTGATACCGTGACGAACGGGTACAGGGATCTTCGGGAGTTAAAAGTACCATCGTTTCGTCACAATCGCGATTACCGCGACGGGACCACGAGAAGAGGGGGTGACTTATTAAGGAAGCGAAACGGAGTCTCGTTTACAAGGTGTTCGATCAATCTTCGCATCTTCCGAGTCCACGTTACCAAGAGACGATAAAACCAGCCAATTTATTATCCAATATAATTTTCCCATCATCCGTTGGGCCATCTTTTGCGCCGTGTCTTTTTACATGCTTCGATACGCGAAAATGTACAGATTTCATGGTTCAAGGGCTGTTGAATTTTTGAAATCAAGTTTCTTCGGGAATAGTTCAGTCGCGATTTATAAGAATATATCACGAAATAGAGATGTGTAATTGCGATTATTCGGCAATACTGAAGGAACTATGTAACGGATATGACAGAAGCAACTCACGGACGGTCTTCCTCGACGACGCCGCCCACGTCGCGACGCTCAACTTCCGTCTCGCGTCGTTCGTTCGCCACGATGAACGAAAGGAGTAAATCGGTCGTCCCCGAATGGTGTATACACCCGAGTTACTGCCAGCGAGACACGCCAAGGATTCGGATCGCGAGTCAGACCAAGGAGACGAAGAATGGGGAAAATATATGTGACGAAAATGGGGAAACAATGATCTAGTCAGCATTGCTCGACGACGATGGCCGCGTCGATAGAAAGAATATGGCCTAAGCAGTAAACACTCGGACGATACGTGGAGTTCGAACCACCACTGGGACTGGATCAGCCGCCATTTTGTTGCTGCTTCGATTTTTTTCTTGGACTTCGATGTTTCTTTTTTTATTAAGATCGGTCTTTTCATACGCAACAATTTAATGATAGATTCTTGTTTATCAGTAGACTGCGGAAGTTTATGCAAATTTATGATTTTCGACAACAATATTTAAAAATTAAAATGGGACAGAATTTTGAATTTTGTACTAGAGGCATTTTTAATAGTAATATATAAATGCAATGAAACTTTATTAAAACATTCTTTTGCTTGTTTTTTTAAGTAAATGGTAGTTATAAGTGCATAAACATTTGCAGTCGAATTAATTTCCAAGAAATGTAGAAGTCACGACATTTTGTCCTCGATCGAATCACGCTTTTCGCGTTGGACGTTCAAATTTCTTATTTATTATAGTTTCACGGTGGATACATTTTGTAAGAAGGTTATTCACGCGATTCTTTCTATTTGTACATTTAATCGGCGACTTCGTTTGGTATTTAGTACAGTGAAGAATGTGCCGTACGATCCTAAGGATCGAAAACAATCCGAATTTAAACAATACGCACACGATCGGACACATAAACCAGGGTCTTGTTTCCATTTGTGTTCGCATAATTTTACACATTCGAAGTTGAATCTCGTAAAACTTCTGTAGGATCACATATTCTGCGCTGATGCAATTCGATTTTGATTTAAAGGCAAGAAAGTATCGATCCAAAATCCTAAGGAACGTCTTCGCTACAAAATTAGTACATAATACGAATAATCCAGTATTCTATAAACAAAATCGCACAATTTTCGTTAATAAAACCAAGTATAAAATGTTTATCTTTAACAAAACGACCTTGAAGAGATCAAAATTCAAGTTTACTTCTTTTGTCGATCAAAGGACTCGATTGCAAACGATAAATATTATTTGTTCCAGAAATACTCGCAAATCGGTTTAAATTACAAATATTTTGTAAGAATGAGGCGGCTGCGACCCAAGATCGAACTCCAAACCTCGTCGATCACCGAGAGAGAGTAAGCTTAGGTAGAAACGATTTTCGATCGAAAGAAGAAAAACCTGAAGGCGATCGTCGCGAGCCGATCGCACAATCCGCGGAGCAAAGAAAAAGGAAAAAGATAAATAAAATCCAAGTCGTACAGTCAGGCAACAGCGTTTGGCTACTGCCCTGTAGATAATATTATAGATAGTTACACGTCAAGGGAGGAGGATGAATCACGTACATGTGCTACATATGTTCGGCGTTAAGGGTGGACCGGTGGCTGCGAGAATCCCGAGCGGCGAGGGAGAGAAAAAGGCCCACAGAGAAAGAGACAAAGAGAGAGAGAGAAAATGTGAGAGGGTTGAATGTGCAGAAACTGTGAGAAAGAGAGGAAGATCGTTGATACTGTTTTTTAATTCTTTGATCCCCCTTCGTTCCACATGAGAAGAGATTTCTCGAGAGAGAGACGAGTCGACCCGTCGCCATTTTCCACCCCCGTTCGATCTATTTCCGTCCCCCTAGATCCACTCGACAGTCAAGAAACAATTTTCTGATCGGACGCAGTGCACATCGTTATACTTAAACTCAATCTTCCTAAAAGAAAAAAAAAATAGGATAGAATCTCATACCAAGTAAGGTCTTTTTACGAACCGAATTCCCTCTTCAGGAAAGGGTTGAAATTCTACTATATCTCTATTTCTCTATTATTGTTTCGTTAACGAAACTCCGCGTAGAATACTCGTGGAGAGTCTCGGGGATAGTAGAGGAACATTGGATAATTCCACGCGACCAAGAATAAGGGTTCTTCTAGCCCCCGAAGGGAGGGGTGGAAAAGAGCGACACGTGGGGTCGCGCGTGTCCTTGCAAGGGTTGGACCATCGGGACGCTCGCGGAGATGTCGAACACTTTGTGTTCGAGCGTCATCTTCGCTAATGAAACGCACAATTTTTCTGAACCTTCGATTCCCCCCACCCCCCACCCTTCCACAGCTTCTTTCTTCCAATAACAAGCATTTTATAATACGTCGTTCGATCACCGGTGGTACGCGTTTTTTGTGTCCTCCGAGCGACAATATTTGTACGACACACATACATACATACACAGAGAGAGAGAGAGAGAGAGAGAGAGAGAGAGAGAGAGAAAGAGAGAGAAAGTGTAGTGGCGCGATCCGATTATCGAGTTTATTGTCCCCTGAGCTCCAACGAATGTGTCGCCAATCGAAGAAAATGAGAAAAATGGAACCACGAGGACGAAGAGAAAGCTCGGACTCACCTGTTTTCAGTTCACGCACAAAACGGAATGGGACGAAATTGCAATAAGAGAGGGATGGAATGTGAGGGTTAATAAAGTGGTGCATAAACGATTAACTTGGGTCTCCTTGAAAAAAAAAAACTGTCGCCCGCGGAAATCGATATCACGTCCAATTCGCTGAACTCACTGTGTTATACATATATCGTCTGGATCCCCTCGATTCGACCGATCGGTTGGGTGATCGACGACACGATCGTTTCCCGGATCAGACGGTGACGTCGACGCTGACCGAGTATATATACACGAAGATTTTTCGATATGTGATTATGATATTCTTTGATGATCTTTGTTAAGACTCGCATCTTGGAGGAGAAAAAAAAATCTAATTGTCGCCGTATTTAAGAAGATATTGATATTAATTTAATATGTACAGTTAGAAAGGTAATTTTTGATAACCCGAAGAAAAATTGCAACTTTTACTTTTCCTTTTTTTTTTTTTTACTTTCCTCAGGAGACGAATTCTAATCGGCACGTAATGAAAGAGAGTTTTTGGTTGTTTTTTTTTTATTTAGGTTGGTGCATAGGAAATATGATTCCATTTTTGCGAACTGATTGCTGTAAGGTAGAAAAACGGAATGTTTTCTCGTGGGGAGGGGTGTCTATTTAATAGGTT